TGTTTGTCTGAGCGATTTGCTGAACAAGAAGTAGGACTGAGTGGACTTGCAGGCTCTAAAGTTTTATTTTTATTTTTAATGCAGGTTTTTTTACATAATTCTACATTTGTAAGTTCAACTTTCATGATAAAGAGATTGTACTACAGTTCTTGTATTAGGTGAATTGAAAAATACAATTTCTTTTGTTTTTTTACAGTGCAAATACTTGTAATCAAAAATAAATATAAAGTGAGCACTGTACACTTTCTCTTCTGTGTTGTAATTGAAATCAATATATTTGAAAATGTAGAAAACATCCAAAAATCTTTAAATAAATGGTATTCTATTATTGTTTAACAGTGCGATTAATCATTTGATTAATTTTTTTAATCACAGGATTAATCGTGGTTAATTTTTTTAATCACTTGACAGCCCTACTAAGGACCATTACATTGAGAGTATCTCGCACCAAGTTTCCTCATATTTGAAACAGGAACTCATATGCAATTGTACTGTAATCTCTATGACCCGGATCCTGCAAACAGTTATATATGGGCTTAACTTTACACATGTGAGTTGTCCCATTGGCTTCAGTAGGATAATTCACATGCATAAAGTTAGGTTTACCATGTGTAGTTTTGCAGGACTGGGGTGGCAGGTAACTAGGACTCCATAAAGTTCCTTTGTAGGTTAACACCTACACTATGGATTGGCAACCTTTGGCACGCGGCCCGGCCAGGCCGGTTTGTCTACCTGCCGTGTCTGCAGGTTCGGCCGATCGCAGCTCCCACTGGCCGCGGTTTGCCATCCCAGGCCAATGGGGGCTGCGGGAAGTGGCGTGGGCCAAGGGATATGCTGGCCGCCACTTCCCGCCACCCCCATTGGCCTGGAACGGCGAACTGCTGTAAGTGGGAGCCGCGATCGGCTGAACCTGCGGACGCGGCAGGTAGACAAACCGGCCCGGCCCGCCAGGGTGCTTACCTGGCAGGCCGCATGCCAAAGGTTGCTGATCCCTGACGTATACCTTATACTCCCCCTGAAAACAAATCAGAGGGCAAGGCAAGGTTAGAGAGCCCCAGTATAATATGCTGTCTACCAGAAGTGCTGCATAATTCTTTTCTTCCTCTCTTTTTGATGAAAAGTGTTTATTTCTGGTAGTTTGAAGGAGTATCTTTCAACAACTCCTTGGTAAATTAGACAAGGGAGTATAAAATATCTTTCAATTTCTATCTCCCTTCTGTCACATTACATTCACAGTCATACCTGTTGTGACTCCATGGTGCTGTGTACTTTGCAATTTCAGTGTTATTTAATAAGATATTTATACATTGTCGCCATGGTATGAACACCTCACAAATACCAGTGAATTAAAGTTTGCAACACTCCTGGAGGAGTGGAGTATTATTATCCCTAGGTGGGGAAATGGAGGCACAGATCAGCCCAAGATCCCATTGGAAGTGAATGGTACAGATGGAAACAGAATGTAGATTGCCTCATTGAGTGGCTTGTGCCCTAACTATAAAACCACACTTCCTCCTTTCATGCTGTCTGTATGGGGTGATAGTCTGTCTGCCTTTTTGTTGTTTGTTTTACTGTGGTACAGTTGTCTGCTAGTGAGCAGCTTCTATTTAGGCACCTGTAAGCGGTCTAGCCCATTGTAATGATCTATTCTGCCCAATGAGTTATATCATTTTTTTTCTAGTTATTTAAGTACTATTCAGACTTGGAAAGGGTTGTTTGCTCCAATGTTGTGGAGATTTAATGTTGCTGAAGCTAAAAAGCATTGTTGTATCAGAATTTAATGTGTGTTGATCGGGTTTTTGGATGAGGCCCCCTACTGCTTTGCATTGGAGAAAGTGTGTGCTGTCTTGCTTGAGATGGCACCTGAAGCTTAGAGTCCATTTTTGCATGTTCATATGTAAGGGAGACTGCCATAGTTTTCCCCTTTGGCCATCATTGCAGGAGTTCGTTTGCATGTGTAGTACGTTGTGATAAAAGTTATAAAACACACATTAGTTAATTAAATTATTTAAGCAGTTACTCTACTAGGTTTCTCAGCATTCTTTGGATCTGTGTTCCTTAACTGAAGTACAAACTGGAGAATTATTAGAAATTTGAGTTTTATAAGCCAGCCTCTCTTTTAAAGCAAATAAGAAATCACAGAAAGCAAACTAAACGTGGTTAAATGATAGTGTTTACAGCATCAAAATTGAACTCCACGTGGAATGTTATGCTTTTCAAGAGATAATAAAGCAGATCAATTAATTCACAGTTTTAACATAATCTAAGGCAAACTTCCCTAGTTTATACTAGTCTGGGCAGGTGATTTTTGATATCAACATGGAACTATGGTTCTTTAAGCTTGATTTGAGATAAGGATCTATATTTATCTGCCAATGGAGTTACGGGACTACTGATGTCATTTCAACTAAACAATTCTAAGTGGAATTTTAAAAATGTAGAGAAGCTTCTTAATTACCAAAGAATTGTTTTATCCAGGTGACACTCATAGACAAGCTTTACCACTAACACACACACAAGATTATCAAATATTAAAACCAAATATAATATGCAGTTAATTATCTGGAAGCTTTTGTAACTTCTCTGGAATTTCACCAGCACTGAAAGCTCTTGCCTTAGTTTAAACAACGGTTGAAATAGTGGTAAAACCTTCATCTTGCAAGCCAATTCAAAGCTTTTTCCTCTTTTAAGAAGCTGTCAATTCTCTTGATCACAAAATCTGTATGATTTTTAGACTGAGCTCTCAGAACCACTCTGGGTTTCTCACAGCTAATTTTTGCTGTAGGGAAGCACAGTTTCCTGTTGTAAATAGTACAAAGCTTAGTTAGTGTAATGAGTTTCTCCAGCATCAATGCTTTCCATTGAGTTAGTGATTCAGTATAACTAAACTAAACTAAACGTGTTAGTGAAATACAAGTGCACATTATACATTTTAGTCATCCAGAGGGTTTTAACTCAGGTTTATGCTTTCTGAGAAGCACTTAGTCTAGCCATAACCAAGTCATCGTTGAGTAAACAATACATTGTTTTTATAAAAGTCATTTTGCTGATTTTTAGTTAGAACTGCAGTGAAGCTTGGTTCTCTAGCTCAGCTCCTCAGTTGCGTTTCTCTGGACTGATAAAGTTCATTCAGGTGATTCACTGTCGGGATTATGACAGTTATGGTCTTATTCTTTTTCCAGCCTTCACAGTGATCTTCCTAGATAGGACTTTAAAAGTCAGAGTTAATAGACAAGATTTTAGCTTTCTATCATAAGCAGATACAAAGCAAGGGGGCACTCTAGCTAGCCAATGACAGTCCAGCTTAAAGTCTCTCTCAGACAGGTGTTTTGGCTTTGGGAAGCAGACCAGCAGGTTGAACAAAATGGCATTTCCCGCCCCACACTTTCTGCTGGGCAATGCTGCCTGGTTCTCTTCTTGGCAAAGACTTGAAATTTCCACCCAGGATATGAGTTGTGTCCCTTCTGTTCATCCAATGAGAGAAAGAGGCGTCACCTTTATGGCTTCTTGCAACTTTGTCTAGAAAACTCCAGTTTCGTTGTTCAAACCACCTTGTACTATACCGATTTGTATAATAGGAATTTGATAATAGGGAGGTACATGGAACTAATTAGGTCATTATGTTTTGCCCCCAATTTCTTTTCGTAATGATTCTGACGCTGCTCATCTCCAGGGAGGCTCATTTCTCTTGAATCACCTTTTCTTGCTCTCACTGGGTTGATCTGCAGCTGATGCAAGCAGTTTCCCCAAAACAGAACAGATTTTGCTGGTCAGGAATTTAGTTGTAGGGGAAGAAGCTGTAACCACTGGAGTTGCAGATTGGCCTCTGTCATGTGACATGATATTAAGCTTTGTGTCACTGGTCCAAGTCATATGACTGAGACTAGGAAATGAAATTTGAGTCTCTCACCAGCACTCCTGCATGTTATAGTGCTGATGGGAAAATGGTGGGGAAACTACATCAAAATTATCTTATTTTTTCAATTCAGAATTTTAATTGAAAACTTGTAGAACGGTTGAAATCTGAAAAAAAAAATTATTAGCAATAGGGTCACACTCTTTTCCAAGAAATCATGAAATAGCTCTCTGTTTTCTAGCTCCAAACTTTCAGGACCAGATTTTCAAACTAGGTCTCCATTTTGGCAGGCACAATTTTCCACTTGCAATTAATTGTTCCCACACAGCTTTCCTGGCAATGCATTGTGGATGCAAAAGAGAAAGTCTGCGTTAAAAATCAGGCCCTCCCTATGCCTTTGATCCTACCTGAACTGTGTGCGGAAGGCTTTAAGTTCTAGTTATCTTGGGTGTTACTTTTTACAATCTCACTTTCAGATAGATGTGAGTTCTAACTTGGTGGTGTCCCCTTAATAAGCACTCAAGGTGAAACTCCACACTGTGCAAAGGGCCAGCACAAAGATTACAAACCACTTAAATGCCACTTCAACCTTATTGTGAGGGCTAAAGTGTAACTATTATTAAGTAGAACATAGGCCTTCCGCTGGCCTTCTGCATAGGTGGGAATTTCAACTGTAGAAAATAAATGATACTTTAGGCTCAATGAGCTTTCATGAAGGTCCAGCTTGGATGGGCCAAACAGAATATTAGGTTTCCTAAATTAATCACTTTGTGCATTTGAACTCAACAGTAATGTAAGTTTATGCAACATAAAGCTTATTTACATATAAATATTATGGTTCAGTTCTCAAGATATGTCAGGGGCCAGCTTTCCAATGGTATAATGTGCTGTACAAGTAAGACAAAAGACAGTGCTTTCAGCCCTGATTCTAGTGAAATATGAAATTTAACACTTCAAACAAAAAAATCATGTACAGCTTTCAATATTCATGTGTTAAAATAAGTTGTGTTGTTTGTTTTAAATTTCACATAGCATTGATAACTTCTGTTGTTTCTGTAGTGTCTGCAGGTTGTTTATTTCTAACACCGAAAACCTAGTAAACATCTGACTCGTAATTTTTACAGTTTTCTTTTTCTCTTTATAGATATATATTAAATAAAATGAAGCCGGCTACAGGACATTATTTGATTCTGGGTTGTTTTTGTCTGGCTTTCTGTTCTGGGTGTACTTCATATAAATTCCTGGAAAGGTAAGTTATCAGTTGGAAAAGTTTCTAATATCTTACCAAGTTTGTTTATTTGTTTTTAAAGCAGAACTTAAACTTCTGGAATATGGTCAGGTTTTTATCAATGTGAAATTTTTGTTTCATCTTGTGCTATTTTTGATGCACTATATTTTTGTCTCCTTCTGCATAGTTAGCATAATGATACTGTATGAATGAAGTTGCTTTTTTATGCCTAAGAAAAATTTGTTAATATGGTTTACATTTGTTAATATGGCAGAAAGAAGAAGGGAGGAAACTTGTTTCAGTTAAAAACATTAGTTATACTTCATAATTAATTTTAATCTAGTATTTGTTTTAGGCAGTGCCTATAAATAATAAATGGAAAACCTGCTCAATGTTGTGTTAATTTAGATAGCTAATGAAACTGACAAGTTTTTAAGCATGACCACTGTGACAAAGTGAAGTGTGTAATGAAAATGTTTATTAGGCCTGAGACAGACCCATTTTTTGCTGTGTTAGAGGTTGTGGTGGTAGATGTTCTTTAAAAGATATGTCATAATTTCAGTTAGTAAAGGTCCTAGGTGCTTTTGACTCACTAGCTAAGGGTATATCTACACTTAAAATATTACAGCAACGCAGGGTACACCATTGTATCACTTCTGTGAAGACACTACCTACACTGATGGGAGGGATTCTCCCGTCAGCATAGGTAATCCATCTTCCCGAGAGATAGTAGCTAGGTCCATGGACCTAGTGCTGGCTATACTGGGGAATAGGTCAGTAAAACTACATCTCTCAGTTGCAAATTTTTCACACCCCTGAATTACTTAGCTTACCAATATCCATTCCTAGTGCAGACCAGGCCTAAGAGATGCATAGCTCAGGGGTCGGCAACGTTCGGCACGCGGCCCGCCAGGGTGCCGAATGTTGACGACCCCTGGCATAGCTCAAAGTGGCAGGTAATGGCTCAGTTTTTCTGCAGTTATTCTAGTATTATCTGTTATGTGAATGGGTCACATTCAGAGAGGGAAGCTATTGTGTTATCAAGCCTAAATCCATTGTATGGTTTCTGATATTCTGGGAGAGACACTCAAATTCATGACATTTTCTCTGAGAAATAGGTTGATAGTTCTCCACAATGGGAGCCATGTAGGTGCCAAATGAGTTTAGTTGTCACAGGATTAGGCGGCAGGTGGGGTGTGTGTGTTGTGGTGCCTGGGCTTTAAGCACCTAAATCCGTTTGTGGATCTGGCCCTAAGTTAATACAGTTTTTGAGTCTGTGTATAGGGAGTAATGTTTAGTTTTGGAATGATTAGTATAGTAGTGGAACTTCTACAATTTCAAGTCCAAAAAAAGAGAGTTTTGTTGTGTGGGGGGTTATTTTTTATTTAGAACTCACATAGCACAAGGACATCTTTCACTGTTGCAAAATATTAGAAGATCCAACAATAACTGTGTAATATAGGGCCAGTTAGTGATCTGATCTCAGTAGGAAAAATGTTGATGGTTATTATTGTGGCTATGCCTGATTTGTTCCACAGCTGTTGAGTATAATGAATTAAAAACCACACATAAATCTGTCTGTCTGTTTAGTTGGCTACATTTTAGCTCTTAAGAGTGCAAAACCACAGATGGACAGATTCAGAATTGAGGATAACTTCATGACAACTTAAAAGCATAAATATATTTTTCTGCTTCCCCCTGCTTGGGGAAAATTAATCTTCTCAAATAATTGCTTTATTTCCTTATTCTCTTTCACATTCGTTCTAACGAAGGGCATATGACAAATTGGCAGTTCACAAGAGGTTAACAGCCATTTACTCTGTCAGTTCTGCGGGTCATTCTGTTGGCTTGAGCAAATTGAGGCTTTGTAAGGTTTTAACATATGCTTTATTTAATAACTACTATTATACATGACAACCCTTTCCCCTCATTATTTCCACCCCCTGTTTCTGAATGCATCTGCATCTATCCAGTCTCCTTATTCCACTCTTTTCCTATCCCACCCCAAATTGTTAACCTGGCTTTACTCCTCAATATGAATCTGTTGTGTAAGTGCATTGCCCTTACAGTCATGTCATTTTCACCACTTCTGTGTGATCATAGTGATTGTTTTAGAAGAACACTTACCATTTCAAGAATGCTGTCCACACCCTTTTCAAATAACACAGACATGAAGAAAAATTAGGAGATTCTTGGCACCCTCTAAATGTGCTCTTATTGTAATAAGAAAAAGTGTCCAAGTGCTCTTCTAAATCTAATAAAATTACGTATTACTATTCTCTCTATATTAAATAGAAAATCTGTAGGGAGATGAGCTGCCATCAGTGGAATTTGTTTAGCAATAAGTAAAATATTAATAACAATCAAAACCCACCATTTCTTTGTGCACTGCCTTATATGGCAAGTCCCTACTCCTTGTTTGGGGTCCTTAGGCACAGCTGCAATAGAAAGAATAAATAATAATTGATTAAAATCAGTGTGTGTTACACTACTTAGCAATGTGGAGGAGTTTTGCTTTTTGAAATGCGTGAGGAAAATAAATGTTTCGTCTCTTCTTCTCCAGTGAGCACCATCCTCACACTTGGAAAAAGCTGTTCCTTGTTCATCACTGGCCCGTGACCGTATGCAAGGTGAGCTTTGTTTTGTTTTTGATTTTTAAATATATCATTGTAAATGTGTAGATCATGCAGTATATGACTGAAAATAAGATGAACCTAGTATTATAGTAAAATCCCTGAAATATTTAAACCTACTTACATTTTGATACTCTCACTTCTCTGAGTATTGGTTAATATCTGTTGTTTGTCACATCTTTCAGTGGCTCGAGAGCAACAGTAAAGAACAAGTGGCTAGTGCCATATCCATAATAGTCTATAGCCCTAAGAGGTAGCATATAAGCCTTAATAGTAAAACATACAATGAGCAATGGCGCCTCACAGTCTTAGGCTCATACAGCTATGTGACCCTAGTTCAATTTATCAGAGGGGTAGCCGTGTTAGTCTGGATCTGTAAAAAGCAACAGAGGGTCCTGTGGCACCTTTAAGACTAACAGATGTATTGGAGCATAAGCTTTCATGGGTGAATGCCCACTTCGTCAGACGCATGACGAAGTGGGCAATCACCCACGAAAGCTTATGCTCCAATACATCTGTTAGTCTTAAAGGTGCCATAGGACCCTCTGTTAGTTCAATTTAGTGGGCAGTTACTCACATGATGAAGTCAATGGACTATTCATAAGAATAACTGTCTACCAATTTGATTAAGCTTCGCAATATTGGCTCTATTGTTTTAGTGCTGTCATTAAATATGGGTTAAACTGAAAAAATCAATATCTATCACTGATATGCCCAGGAATTCTGGCAGGAATTCTAGAACACAGAGTTTCCAGATACGTTTGTAAAGTGCTCAGCAAATAAATGTACTTCCCTTCAGTCCCAATGACATTAAATTCTGTTAAGTGGGGTTTTTTTAGCGAGGTAGGAGACACAACAGAGATCTGCTTTTTTGCTGCTGACTTGAAATTTAAGTTTAATTTTTTGGGGGTTCTTAATCAGATTGGCTGAGGCAGGGTGGTATGATCCTGTGAGTAATAAAGAGAAGCCTGAACTAGGGCAAGTGTTACTGCTACACATCTGGAACTGCAATTCTGAGAGAGACACGTTTATACCTCTAACTGTAGCATTTGGGGGCACACTCTCTTGTTTAAGGACAGCTTTTTAGGCTTGTCAGCCCTGTTTCAGGAATCAAATTAGGGAGAAAAGCAGCAACAGTAAAACATATACAGTGTTAAACTCTTCTGAGCGGAGCAGGAGTTGTGCTCTACAGTATTCTAAATTGGGGGGGGGGGCAGTGATAGTGGAGAAATTAACAGCCAATTTTTCAAACAAGATAGTTGATTTCGGGTGTCCAATTTGAAGCATATTAGGTCTGATTTTCAGTGCTCTTGGGTGCACACAGTTCACAGTTACTTCAGTTGTACTTCTGCTGGTGTACACTTCTGAAAATCTGGCGACAGGTCAAGCATTTAAATGGAGGCAACCCAAAATCAAGGGCCTTGCAAATCTTTGGTTAAATGAATGAGACATGCAGACCATCAAAGTAAAATATTTTACTACTGTGCATCCACCCTGGCGGCTGCTTCTAATTTTAGAACTCTGATGTTGGCTGAAAAGTTATATAACCCTCTGAGCTAAAATGGAGAAGCTGCAAGCAGGATAACTGAAGACTTGGCAAGCTACCAAAAAGGCAGGCTCTCTAAACAGTAATCCTTACAGTGTCTCATGTAGGGAGAGGAATCAACATGGATACAAGTGTATCTAATGGACTAGAGAAACTCTGAAAGAATATAATCATTAGGTGACTTTTTCTACCGTTTCACACCCTTGAGTGGTTACAAGAAGCTTAACTTCAGTTCCACCTCCTATGTTTTCAAAACTTATAGATTTCTTCTTGTTAACATCATGTAATATGTGGAAGTAGGGTTCCAGAATGCAACTGTAGTTGGTTAAAAAAATAGAGTTTTTTAAGCTGCAAAACAATCTGTTTCCTAAGTGTCTTTCAAATTATTTACATATTAATTTCAGGAGGAAAATATCGCTAGCATTGTGCCTTCTTTTTTCAAAATGATTAATAAAGTACTCTGATGACTTCAAAAAAATGACTGGATACAGGAGATTGCAACACAGATTCTATCATTCATGTTTGTAAAGTGATTTGATGATGGAATACTCTGTGCAAATGATTATTATTAGTATTAGGTTATATTTCCTGAAGGGGTGGAGTGGGTGGGTGTGTCTGTCAGTCAGTCAGTCAGCCACTTTGCTTATATGCAGGGCTGTCACCAGGAGGTTAAACTCTTGCTTGGCGTGCAGATGACTTTCATCTTTATTCCTACCAGCTGTAATTGTTTGTGTGTACAGAAAAGATATTCAGAAAACTGCAGATCTTTCTTTAGTAAATTAAAATGAAATCTGCTTAATGATCACTTTGAAATCCCTTGAGTAGAGTGTACATGCTAGAAATAGAGACCATATGTACCTTAGATGTTTATACATTTTAAGCTGTTACTTTATTGTGTATGGTAACTTTTGAGTACATTTTTTCTCTGACTTGGTTAGATTGGACATTATATGTTTAGGTTTTGTGTTAATAGATTAAGGCCAGAAGGGACCATTAGGGTCAACTAGTCTGACCTCCTGCATAACACAGGCTTTAGAATTTCACCTAGTGATTCCTACAGTGGAGAAATTTGTTCTTCCTGCTTCGTAAGTGAACATTATTGAGCCCAGTAACTTGTGGGTGAACTAGACCATCTCTTTTAGAAAGGTATCCCATCTCAATTTAATGACTCCGAGTGATGATGAATTTACCGCTTCCCTTAATAAATTGTTCCAATGATTAATCAACCTCCCATAAAAGTAGCACTTCGTGCAATGAATTTTTTTCTAATGTCAACTTCCTATTACTTAGCCTTTGAGTCACTTCGACACTTTCACTGCTATTTGTAATACAGAGGTAACATAAACTACTTAAAAGCTGTGCTTGAGAACTCTTTTTAAAGGAGGGGTGTGCTGTTACGCTTGACTCATCATCGTGGCTTCGGTGATGGTGAGCTAACAGTTACTTTATGATTCTGTAGGAGTTAGAGGACTGTTCAATCCTAGGGGATTGTGAACCCTGTTAGATGGGAATGGGAACAGTTAAATAGGAAAGGTTGTCTCCCCAGCTAAGGAACTGGAGGAGGGAAGCTTTTATGACTGTGCCTTTCTTTCTTGGAGTTGATTAAGATAGAGGGTCTATTTTAAGTGCTGCCTGCTCTGGAGATACTTATTTTGGCAAACAGTAGCAGTAGCTGCCCTGCCATTCACTGGGAATATGGAGGCCTGTGGAGAGGGGAAATCTGTTGCAAGAGTTTGGTCATCCAGTCTCTGTCTTGGTGAGCAAGGGGAGAACAGGAAGGAAGATAAAGGCCACATCCTCAGCTCTGCTTAAATCTGCTTTGCACCACCCATAGCAATTGAACAAATGAGAGAGCCACCTAGGAGAAAGGAAACAGGGCTGACTGTTAAACAGAATGCATTGGTGACACAATGGTGCCGCAATACCAATTCCAGGGCAGACTGCTAAAAACCAGGGCACAAATCCCTAATTGCTTGAGAGTTTTAAACATAAATTTTATCAACTAACTGCACCAAGTGCAAACTCCTCAGATACTTTAACAGTCTTAACATGGAGTCACAGACAGTCCTTGGGTATTCCATCTGTCTTGCCATCCAGGTGAGTCAGTCTCTGTGATAGATGGTCCCTTACGCTGAGAATCACAGCAATAATCAGGTTACTCCTAATCCCAAGGGACCAGTCACTTACCCCAGGTCAATTGTGCTTTAGATCTCACACCAAAGACAACACTTGTAAACTATATGAAGTCCTATTAAGTAGGGAAAGGAAACTAGAGAGTTATTTACAAGGATAAAGCAAGCAAATATAGGCTCTGTTTACATTGCAATTGGACACCTGTGACTGGTTCATGCCAGCTGACTCAGGCTCGCGGGGCTGTTTAATTGTGGTGCAGATGTTTGGGCTGGAGCCCGGGCTCTGGGACCCTCCCACCACAATTAATTAATTAATTAATTAATTAACACCACAGTTAAACAGCGCTGACTCAGGCTAAGGGGCTGTTTAATTGTGGTGTAAATTAATAAATGTGGTAGGTTTTTAATTGCAGTGTAGACATATCCATAGACACACAAATGAGTTAGTCCTAGGTTTCAAAAGGTAATATAGGCTTCTATAATCAGCAAGCTCTATTTGTCCTTCAGGGCTAACCCAGGCTAAGCATCTAGGGATCTCTTGCTTATACCTAGAAACACCTTGCCCCGCAGAGTCCAAGCAGCATAGAGATCCTTAATTCCTGTGGTTTGGGGGTTTTATCCCCCTCCTGCCATGTGCTCTCAGCTGATGGGAGGAGTCCGCTTGTATGACTGATCTTCATGAGCAGGAGAGCAAAACAACAAGAAGTATCTTTAGTCCTGTTGACTGCTGTTGACTCTTTCTCACTCCAGATGTAGGGAGTTTCCAGTTGTAAGATCCAACCCTAGCCCACCTGGTATCAATAGGTCTCCTCTTTCAGGAGGGATGTAACGATTTCTGTAGAAGAGCATCTCTTCACAATAATTAACGTCCCTCTCCTGTATGCAGTCACAGAGGCTCACAATACAACTGCTCAAGTATTACATTACAATTTGGAACACAGATATTACAAATAAGATTAATGCATGCAGCAACTCCCAAGCATTCAATAATCTAAACACTTTCTTGAAATTCTAACAATTTCACTTTCTTCTATGTATTACTCTCCATATTTGTCACAATTATCTTATCAATATTAACCCACAAGTGAGCCAGAAAGATTCCAGCTATGTATTTATCAGTGTCCACTTGAGACCCAGGGACCTTGGCATGAGCTGGCGCCTGGTCTGCCATCATCACACATTTCATTTAAGAATGAAACCAGTTTTCAATAATAGATTCATTAACACTGATATGATCAAAGATGTTCCTAGCTGCAGGGTTTTAGTTGTGACTGTATATTAAAGGTTACAAGGAAAAAGAGACACATCAAATAAAATAGAGTTATACTAGTTCAGCAATCAGAGGGATTATGGTGAACCACTGCTGTTTTGATGTGTCGTTAGATCAAAAAGTCCTTGCTTATGGACACCAAATAAAGTTGTTCCTTTCTTCCTCTGTTAGTCATGTGCAAACGTTGCTGTTTCTAAAAATGAGTTGGCCTGATGGCCTGCAATTTTGTGTCAGTTATGCCTTTCACATTTTCAAAATTATTTAACAGTACAGTTGCCTTTACAATATGTTCCATCTCTGAACTGGATAGTCTCGTATTTGTACTGGTGTTACCCAAGAGACGTGTTCCACTGTAGATACAATATATTAGTGCTCAGGGTAAAATGTATTCTTCTGGATGAGCTTGTTCTAAAACCAGGTTACCTCAGAGCAATTGTGTTATAGTCCTACACATCTGTGAGTATTTCGAGCAAATGTTTACTTGCAAGAGGCCTGTGCTACATATTTGTGAGGGACAGCTCTTTTCCCATACGGTCCCCATAAACTACTAGCTTATATCGTAACTACAGAAGCCAGCCTCTAGTTTCCATTTTCACTGTTGCTTTGGTGTTCATCCTGGATGAACTTATTTTTGTAGGATCTATATAAATGAAACAGATTTTCATTTAAACTAGATCTATTTATCATAGGTACTTATATGGCCCCCATTACAGTGGTCTCTGAGCACCTCACAGTCTTTTATGTATGTATCCTCACAACACCTTATTAAGTAGGGCAGTGCTATTATCCTCATTTTACAGACAGAGAGCTGATCCACAGAGATGACTTGTCCAAGATCACACAGGAAGTATGTGGCAGAACTGGGAATGAACCCAGGTCTCCCAAGGATAGGGCTCTAACCAACACACCATCCTTCCTTTCAATATAAGAAGTGATAGATGGGCCCTCTGGTGGCTTGCATCTGCATTCTGGTTTTACAAATACAGTTTGAAAGATGGCTTATCATACCAAATTGGACTGTGCTGTACAGTCTGATTGCCAGATGGTTCTCAAAATGTTCAAAACCAGATTGTTGTTCTTCTTCCACACCAACTACAACATCTCAAAGAACCACAGATACTGTAAGGTAAGTAACTGTTCTGTCTTAATTGTGACTCACAAATCTGGAGGGTAATATAGAGAAAGCGAAATCTGTAAAAGGTACTATGCCAGCCAGTTCAGTGTGGTGGGCCTGATTCTCTGGTACCTTGCACCTTGTCCATTTACGCTTGTGCAAAGTTTGGTGTAAAATGCTACCAGATCAGAATTCATCACTCACTCGCACTCAGTTTGCATAGGTTTCAAACGATTACATAAAGTGCAAACCAATTGAATTTCAAGCCTGGTGAGTTTAATCCAGGTTCACACCAGTCTAAGAAGGATTTCAATTTGAAGGACTGTCAACCTTTGATGTTTGACTTTCTAGGAATTTCAAAGCAAGGTCTTGATCCAGTTTGCACTGAAGTTAATGGAAGTTTTGCCATTTACTTTGATGGGAGCTGGAGCTGGCCCCAAGTGATTAGCAAACTTAGTGGTCCGAGCTATTTAGGTGTAAGACAGTGTTCAAGGGAAGATGTAACTTCCTGGATAGTTGTTAATTGACTGTGTTTCTGGTTTAGCTATCTGAAATGTTTTGATTTCACAAAGCCTGTCTCCTTTGAGGAGCAATGTTGTTTGTCTAATTTCCCTTCTGGAATAAAACAGACACTGGGTTTAATTGCTGTCTAGTCACTGGACTATGTAGGTGGCAAGATCAGAGAGGAAGGAAACTGGCACACATGGAAAGAAAACGTGAAAAATTAAGAATGCTGCTTTATGCATGGCATAGGACTGTAGAAGCTTGGACAATTAGTGAGGTTACAAGTCTTATTCTACCCTTCTGCAGTGTCAGAGCAGTAGCTCTGACCAAGTGAATCACACTAATTAAGGCAGGAAGGAACATGCAGAGATTAAAAGAAAAGCTAGTAGGGAGTTTTTGTTTTTTAATCAATATTTACATTAAACTATTTGGTGGTTACCAGGCAGAATATTGGAGAAAGTACAAAAATAACACTGAGTCTGACAGTCTGAGCATCAAGTTTAGTGACTGATCAGAAGCATATAACCTACACTAAAAACAACATTTTATGCACAGAGCGTTCTGCTCTCCCTGTGTAATCAAGGGCTCTGCTTCCTTTCAGGCGGAAACCCCAACCCTTATATAATACACCTCTACCCCGATACAACGCTGTCCTCGGGAGCCAAAAAATCTTACCGCGTTATAGGTGAAACCGCGTTATATCGAACTTGTTTTGATCCGCCAGAGCGTGCAGCCGCGCCCCCCCAGAGCGCTGCTTTACCGCATTATTTCCAAATTCGTGTTATATTGGGTCATGTTATATTGGGGTAGAGGTGTAGTAATAGTCCGTACTCAAGCAAGTAGTTAAACTGAAATCAGCGGGATTAGTGCGAGGGTTTGCAAGACTGGGCCTCCATATTATATTTACTGAGCTCCTGGAACGTTCCTGTATCTACTGTTCTGCCCTTTCTTTAGCAGTTAATGTTTTGCATAGCTAATTATTTGGGCTGTGAATGCTGGTGTGGTTCTCTCCCTTAATCATTGTATGTCTACTTGTATACCAGCAGTAGAATTGCTCATGGACATATACAAATTATTGTTGGCGTCAGGGCCAGAGAACACTTTTGTGCCCCCAAGAGTGGCTTAGCTGGCTAACCAGTGGAGTGGGGAAAAATGGCACAGTGGAGTGGTGCGCCCCAGGAAGTTGGCGCCCAGGGCAACCGCCCTGCTGGCCTGCCCCTAAAACTGGCCCTGGTTGATTTCACTAACACACCATTGATGGCTTCTCACAACGTTTAAAATCTCTTTGTTTTGGGAACTCTGAACTCATTGAAAGGGTCTGCTGATCTCTTAAATAGGAAACTGCTGGGAACTGCAGGCCAGATCCTCATTAGATGTAAATAAGACTTAACTGCATTCACTTAGATGGTGCTATGCTGATTTACACTAACTGAGAATCTGCCCTTGATCTTTCAAGTATTCGTGCTGCTCATTCAGCATGTTTGTGGTAAATCCCTTAGCATGCGCTAATGTTTTTAAACCCAAAATGGATTAGGTGATCTCTGACTAAGTAATGTATTTAATAAATGTTATGGACTTTTGCTTTCTTTAGATGAGTGAAAATGACTGCAAAGATCCCCCCCAGTACTGGACAATTCATGGACTATGGTAAGAACTTAAAACAAATCCTTTTAATTTCAAATTAGAAAAGAATGCCATGTTGGTCTAAATTCAGTGCTGGCGTAAGCGGGTACAGCTTCATTGACTTCAAGTGTAAGGGCCTGATTCTCCTCCTATTTACACCGGTGTAAATCAGAAATAACTTCATTAGAGACAATGCTGTAAAATGAGTTTGAGGGAGAGAAGAATCAGGCTCTTAGACTTGGCGGGGAGGGTCAATGGATCTGTACCCACTTAAAGCAGCACTGAATCTTGTCTATATCCTTAGGCATTACAGGGATTAGTTATTTGATTCTAGACAGGACTTTGAAGAAGAAAATGTTCATATTATGTGTCATAAGGATTAATACGCAGACTTTCAACAACTGTAAACAGCTCCAAACTGTGGTCTGTAATCCAACTAAAAGCATCACCAGCCTTGATACGAATGTAACTTCTCTAAAATTTGTCTTATCAGTTTTATTTCTGCTTTCACTGCAAATTTACCCAGTAGGATGCATATTAAAATGCCTAATTATAGTGTGTTTCTCCTTGAGTTGCTTGATTTTATAGTTTTATGTAGGCATTTTCAGTAGCATAGGTCACAGAGGTTTAATAGCATGACATATGACTTCTAATTTTGATAATAAAGTCACATCAATTTAAGATATGTTTTCCCCTTTTCCATTCCACCTATGGAAAGGAAATTATGAGAAACTTCTGAAGTGTGTTTCTAATCTGAAAAATGACTTTGTAAACATGGGATTGAGGATTACATGTTTGTTGTGTCCAAACAATTTCCTTATTAAATGTGCTCATTTTACAAGTTCAAATGTTGTTTTCTATCAACCCTACAAATTCACTTGGGTTCTGAAGGCCCAATTGTCTACTCATGTAAATCTCAAGTCAATGGATTTACATGAGTGTAAAACCGGAGCAACATGAGAATCAGGCACTGAGAGTTAAGATGGGTTTTTTCTTCCTCCAATAATAAAAGTCCTACGAGTCCAGTTAAGACCTCTGTATTACGATCCCATTGTCTTCAAATTATGCTCTCGTTGGTGCCTAAGCAACCAGTTACCATCAAAGGGATCTTCGCAGATGTAACTGATCAGATCTTAGTAAACAATACTGATGATGATGCATCCAAAAAAAGACTTCAGTTCATTCTCTCTTCTTAGTTCTGTTGGCTTTGCAGAGCTAGAAATAATAATAATAATAATAATAATTAATAAATGATACTTTTATCTGCTGATCTGACTTTGAATACACACAGGGAGCAGATCTGAGGAGGGAGAAATGATCATGTTTTCCACAGGCAGTTTTCAGAGCAAAATCCCATTCATCACTGAATCTGTGCCTTTGCAGGTGCAAGTCAGACCTCTAACTTACTAGGATTTTTAGTTTTTGTGCTGGTGGATGCTCCACTGATCTGCTCTGTCTTATGAATGTGTAGTGTATTGAAGTATAAGAACCCTGCTCTAGCCAGAGACCAAAGTTGTATAGTTCAATACACCGCTAACTTATGATCTCACATGCTTGGTGATCATGTGCAGGCACACAAATCAAATTGCAGAATAAGCTTTTTTTTAAAGGTCTATTTCCAAAGTTGCTAATGTAAAGGGGAGTATAACTTCCTCTTTTTCTGAGTTCAGAGCACTTATTAGTGTCTCATGACTGAATGTGGCCTGAGGAGTCTAAACATGTCACAAAAAACTCATAGAAACTTGTGAAAAACATGTCTGTCTCAAAGGAAACAACTGGCTGGAATCTCTGTGAAGATGTAGAGACTTTTCATAAAAAAATAAGTGATTGGAAGAAAACATACAACAGATTGGTCGCCTATCCTCTATAAAACTGTCAACAGCATTACAACTAGGTTCCAAGGCAGTTGGAATTTGTGTGGGTCTGGGGAATCGTAAGTTGAGTGACTCAGTTAGGGTGGAATTGACTTCATTGGAGAGGGCCCAGGCAAAGTCCTCCACACCACTCAGGCACTTTATGCATAGCTAAAGTGGTGTGAAGGGCACAACAGGGTCCTCTGCACTTAGAAGAGTTCAGCCACAATTAGCACGTAATGAATTTTAATGAGTTTGTGATGGTTAAAATGCTGTAGAGATTGACTTGGGTTCCTTGGATTTTTAAACTCAAATTTCAAAGCTATAATCTTGTAACTTTGAAATGTAGCTCCGTGACACGACTTTTTCCACCCAGTACCTAATAGTGGGCATTCTGTTTTCATTTGTATATTTCTTCCCTAGGCCTGATAAAGTAGACGAATGTAATAGAACATGGCACTTCAATGTGACTGAGATTAAGGTAATTTTAATTTATTTAAATTAAAATGTTAATTCTGAGCAGGATTGAACACAATTACCTTTTCAAATCCCAAATATATATAACTTCATAGCATATCACTTCTGATTTAATTTGTAATCTGAGATGGTTATGCTTTTAAAAATTCCCATTCCAGCATTCATTAGGTGCTTTATTCCCTTATTCTAAGTCTCTATGAAGTTCAGCGACTCCCTCAAATCACCATTGGTTTTGTATACACACATGGCTTGAGTCATTCCCTAGTCTTTTCAAGTAGAAACTGGCAGAACACTGGCTCTGGGCCTCCCGGGGCAAAAAGTCTTTCTGAAGGGCAGCGTTAGAGTGACCAGACAGCAAGTGTGAAAAATCGGGACGGGGGTGGGGGGTAATAGGATCCTATATAAGAAAAAGACTCAAAGATCAGGACTGTCCCTATAAAATTGGGACATCTGGTCACCCTAGGGAGGGTACAACTAGAGCACCCCTTGCAACTTCTGTGCTGCTGGGCAGCCCAGCACCTAGGAGTGCATTTTCCACATAGCGTCCAGTAGTAGGACTCCTGTTGAGTATCATCTGTTGTTTAAAGCTGTTCCCCTGATGGAACCAATAAGGGAAGTGAAAGCAGTGGTGGCTGCAGCCTGTCCTTTCCCAGAAGTGAGGTGCATCTGCAGGCAGGGGTGCAGGGAATGCAAATTAAGGAGAGCTGAACAGTAAGCTCTATGATGAATTTGACTTCTTTCAAACCATAAAGAACGGAAAAGTCCATTTATCAGTCAGACATTGCTTTATAATACAGGGTGGGGGATTAAAGGCTGGAGATGAGTAAGACAGGAACTGTACAATTTAAGAGGATTTCTGTAGGGTTGCAGAAATTAATCAGTTAATTAAACAGTTACAGAAATGTATCTGATTTCAAGAAAGGAAATATTTTTGTTCAGTGTTTCAAAATCTAATTGTACATTTGCATCTGAAACAGCCATAAGGATACATTTTCACAGGGCACAAAACCTCTTACTCACCTAGCAATAATTTTTTTTCACCTATATAACGGGTTTCAGCCAAGAATCTCCAAGGAGATTGGCAATGTTTTGAAAATGTATCCATTTATGTATATTGAGTATGAAATCCCTTTTCAGCTACACAGGGTAGATACATATTTTTAATTTCTAGGATCTCTTGCCAGACATGAGACAATACTGGCCTGATGTACTCCATTCATCTCCTAATCGCACCCAGTTCTGGTGAGTTCAAGCTACAATGGAAAATCATTTTGGATGTATCTTATAGTCTTTCTAAATGACTTATCTGAAGGAGCATTTGGTACCAGGCTTTAGACGCTTGCTGTAGTTTCATCAAAAACCTTGGAATAACAACTTTAGAAATGATTCTGCACTTTCCTTCTGTGTTTCTTATGCTTCGTCAATATTAATATTTACATGGAAGCAGGATCTCTGGCTTCAGTCTTCCAGAGGATTACCTGTGTAGACCCTTACACCACTGTTGTGTCCCAAGGACTACAGTGAGACTCTGTGCAGTCATCTAGACCTAATAAGTGTCATATACAGACCTCTTGTAGGTGTATCACACATTCCTATAGGACTGGTAAAATGGCACACATTTAGAGAGACATTGAAATTCCTCATACAAAAAGTATATGAAGGTGCAGAGAGCTACCAATCAAGAACCCATGAGTTCTTGTCAAACAAACCAGATTACAAGTTTGGTTGACAAAGGCAACCATGTTGATATCCTACACATCTACTTCTGTAAGGCATTTTGATGTAGCACCACACAATATCCTGAGGTTTTTTCTTTTGTTTTTTTTTTTAAGTCACTATACAAAAATCGGTGCAGCCCATATTGGATTGATTTAAAAACTGGTTAACTGATAGATCTTAAAAAAAACCCCAAAAAACGTAAATGGAAGTCATCATCCAACATTGGTGTTTCTAGTGGTGTCCCACAGGGACCTGTTCTTTCCCCAGCACTATTCATGATCTTTATCAATAATCTGGAAATAAATATAAAATCAGTGCTGGTAAGATTTACAAATGGCCCACAAATTGGTGAAGCAATAAATAATTATAAAGATAGGTTTGATCCAGATTCCTCTGTAGAACTTATTGTAAACTGTCCTCACTTAACAACATGCATTTTAGTACAGCTAAACACAAGGGCATACCTCTGGGAATCAAGACTGTAGGTCACATTTATAGGATGGAGGACTGTGTTTTGGAAAGCAGGACTGCAGTGTGGGGTCCAATATTAGTAACAGGATAAACATGATTCTTACTGTGTATGGTATTCTGCAGGGTCTTTGGTGTTTGCAGTAGGTTAAGCTTGTTACCATGGTTTCCATGTCTCTTCTGTGTTCAGTCAAAGAAGGGAAGATAAAAAAACTGTTTTGTTTCTTTGTCCCATTGCAAATGTATTAATTCTTCATATCTGCTTGATATATGCTTGAAGTTGCTGGCTCACTAGAGAAATTGTAAGTCTGTCTCACAGCATGGGTTCCTTGTATAGATGTGAAAAGGAGACAGAGCATGCCTGTGAATGAAGAGCCTTTCCTACCCAAAACCTCAACCCAAAAAGTTGATGGACTCATTCAGTATTTTATTAGATTCTCCCAGCTGCTGAGTTAAAATCCTTCACTGACTTAGTATCAGAGGGGTAGCCGTGTTAGTCTGTATCCACAAAAATAACGAGGAGTCTGGTGGCACCTTAAAGACTAACAGATGTATTTGGGCATAAGCTTTCATGGGTAAAAAACCCACTTCTTCAGGAGACTCCATGCATCTGAAGAAGTGGGTTTTTTACCCACGAAAGCTTATGCCCAAGTACATCTGTTAGTCTTTAAGGTGTCACCGGACTCCTCATTGTTTCACTGACTTAGTTTCTGAGGTGCTTTTCATTAGGATTGGGTGGGTTATCTCCACCTAGAGGACTGAAAATTCTCTGGGGCAGTATCATAAAACAGGCAGGGAGAATGGCTGTCCTTTTGACCCTGCCTTCTCCCTACACAGAGCCCAATCCCCGCATAATCCCAGGGCAAGAGAAACATGTCACAGAACTAGCATTTCCTGTACTCTGATCAACTTCTCTTTACTCCACTTTGCTCATCTAAACAGTTGGGAGCTTTTGGACTGAAGACAGTATGTAGGAGCTTCTGGTTTTTTTTTTTCTGAGGGGGAAAGTCAAGATATGATGTCATGGTAGTGGACAGCAGATCTTGATAAATACAAGTGAAATATTTTCATACAAATTTGTTGGTAAAAAATGACTATTTGATCAAAATGAAGAAAAATCCTTGAAAACTTTGAATCTACTCTAGTCCCATATATCATCATGGCTATTGATTCCATTTAGCATTTCTGACTCAAAGGCTAGCCAACAGCAGTCTTGCCAGAAGTTGAAATAACCTGGGGTTACCAGCAGTCTAAAAGCAATATGGCAGTTGGTTTAGGTATGTTTTAATTTTTTTCTGTGACCAGTATTTGTTGACTGTGAGAAATCCTTCCCTTTAATACTGGGAGCTGTTTAATAAGGGACAGTGTTGCCTTAAATATAGCTCTAATTACTGATTTTATGAACATACAAGCTTTTAGCAAACCTAACACCACTGAAATGCTTCCACATTTTTTACTTCAGTTAAAATAGTTCTTATGAAACAAATTAACAGTCCTTGTAAATATTTCTTTTTAGAGTATAAAACCTTGAAAATTCAGCATGAAGAACCTAAAAGTGAAACGGACTACATAGATTTTCATTGTTGAAAGCTAAATGAAAGAGTTATATTAAAGAGCATACAAAGTGACAAGTACATGGATTTTAAAAAATCCTTCCACTTAAGAATCATAGGAAAGAGAAATGTATATATTCTACAATTTATGATTTTTAAATTGAAAGTGTCCCGTGTGGAGTAATTGTTTAGGGGGAAATTCTTGAAAAGATTGTTCATCCCAAACACATAAGGCTGTAGGCTCAACCCAAATGTGTACAGCGCAGAAGAAAGAATCAACAGACCTGGCAACTATTTGCATCTAATCCCCTTCGAGTACTGCAAGTTATGGACAGCTGTGGGTTGCAGCTCCTCATTATTCCTCCCGCAATATCTATATGCCTGTGAGCCACTGCATTTGTTTAGTTCTCAGACCCACCTGATATCTGATATGACTCTAGCTTTGTCCACCACACACTCAGGCTTCAGTGCTCCCGCAAAGTGGAGCAGAGCTCTGCAGTGCTGTTTGGGAGAAAGTGACATCCCATCTTCCCTCTACAATGGTGAGCACAACAATTTTTGCTGCATTGTGGGTATTCTGCAGCGCTGCGTAGTGCAGAGGCAGAATTACTCATGTCAGCACAAGGTCAAAAGTGATGGAGCAGGGCAGGTTGCACAGGTTGCATAAGTGAGTGCTCCTGCGTGCCCATTAGCAGAAGGAAATCAAAAGAGGGAACTGCCTAGCTTTGAATGCTGAGCATTTGAACTCATGTCTCCTCAGACACACCTGTTGTGCACTAATGCCTTGCCTCTTCTTTCCCCCCATGCTGCTGAGGGTCAGAGAGATCCACAAGAGGTTTGTTGTTGGGTAGTTTGTTTATTTACTCATTGCTGCCCGTACGGAGGACTGTCCTGCATCCGTATTCGACACAAGCATGAGCTGATGCTCAAGTGCGGTGACCTTGCCTTTCTTGCTGTTTGCCACACAAGCGCTTTGAAAAACCAAGGCCTTTCTGAGCATTAGACAAGAAAGAAATTGGTCTCTTATTTTTCACTAGGAATTTCTGCAGTTTCCATAGTTGTGTTTTGTTAAGTGCAAGAGGTGAAGGTAAAATGCCACATTCCTATACCCAACAGTTAGAAATAATGAATTATTTCTACATCTTTTCTCTTCTTTCATGTAGTTGTGCTGTGCAAAATAGGTAGCTTGTCTTTAGGAAGGGTTATCTTAATTTTTTTGTTGCAAGCTGGGGTGAGCACCCCCTCCTGGACACTCACCAGGCTGTAGTGAACCCAAACTTTGGGTCCCATGAGTTCTTGCTGGGCTGGGCTGGGCAGAGCTCTGGGCCTCTTGGCAGTGGAGACGCTACAGTCCAGTTGCCATGGCCCTAAAACTATCAGCAGTTCTCCCAAGCAGCTGCTGCATGCTCCTAAAGTTCCACCAAATCTGCAGACCCTCTGATTTGTAGTTTGGCATGGATACCTACAGATATACTTTGATCTGTCACATTTGTAATAACTCTAGAGAAACAACGCTATAGGAATGAGAGAAACATTTTCATTCTAAACCCCTAATTTCAAGAACTTATACAGTCTTCCAGTTACACATAACCACCCCCATCCCCAAATCTTGAACTCAGTCTTCATGCTCACTCCCAGCTCAAAAGTAAATGTGCCATTTTTTCCAATTCCAAGTATTTAATAAGAGTTTTCGTACTTTAAGTAAGTTCTTTAACTTTTCTGGTAAACACATAACTCAAAGGCATCCTGCAAAAGAAAAAAAAAATTGGACTTGTGCCCCTTCTTTGTGATGTATAAAGGGGACATCACAAGAGTCAAGGGATTGAAAGCAAGGCATCCAAAAAGCGAAGGGATTTTTAATCATTCATTACAAGCTTTTTGTGTTTTGTGCTGACATCTATTTAACCCCAGTCACTAATGAACATTTTGGGAAAAGGATGTCCGTGTTAAAGATTCCATACCTGCATCTTTCACAGTAAATATGCCTTGAGATATAGCTGAATTTCCTGCTTTGTATGTGTTAGTCCACTGACAAAACAGAGTGTGGCTTTATTTTTTATTTTATTTTTTTGCGTTCTGGGATACTGATAGGCTTGACATTATTGTAAGGAACCAGGTTTTAGGACATCTTCATTGCATGGCCTGCTATCGTAGTAGACAAGACCTCACTAAAGTTTATACTAAAAGAAATTTAGAAATGTTAACACTTGAGGCAAATTCTCACAGTTTAACTTTCTGAACATGACTCATTTCTCATAATACAACATTTTTTATCACACTAGTCTGACTAAATTTTGTCAAGCCGTGACGAACTTGGGTATGTTCTGCTTACCTAAGTTAGCCCACAATGCACATTTTTCGGATGTTTTTCTGTATCTGTTTAAGCTATTTATATGGGCCACCATCCCCATAGTTCCTGGGCACATCACAATCTTCAATATGTTTATCCTACAACACTCCTGTGAAATAGGAAAGTATTACTTCTTCCTAATTTTCAGGTGGAAAACTGAGTCACAGAGAGACTAATCTGTTTGCCAGGGTCATACAGTATGTCTGTTGCAGGGTAGGGAATTGAACACAGATATCCCAGTCCCAGACTAGTACCTTAACCAACGGACCATCCTCTTTTTCTCTCTTGTATAGTTTATAGGACAGTCTGAAACTCGCTCATGCAGTGTTACTGAAAAAAATGTTCCCAGTTCACCAGCCAGATAGAACTCTGTTTCTGTACTAAATAATAAACTCTCATGGAGGCAGGGCTTTTGTATTGTACGTTCTACTGTATGTGGCACTAAATTATCAGACTTGAAAAATATATCCTGTCACTGGATGGCTTCATAAGTCTTGTTACATTTCAGAATCCACAAAACCATGAAGCACAATATGTAAAATGTAGCTCTGCCACTGACTGTTACATTTATGGTCTCAGTCAGTGGACAAGTTAGCGTCTCTCTTCTTTTGCCTCATCTTGATATTTCCTTAGCAATTTGCACTAATAGAACTGTGAAAATCTGCCCTCCTACAGCAATGTTTTCTCTTTGTGTTGTGTCCTCTACTACATGCTAGGGTTCTCTGCCTTATCACATCTAATCGAGTCTCAGTCTGAGATGCTGGCACCGGGAATGGGAGGCTTCTCATTTTTTGCACCTGGCACCTATGGCAGAGTGAACAAGATGTATTTGTAGAAATCAGTATCTCTGCTTACTTGTATTGAGGTGCAGGGCGATACAGGGAGAGGATTTGGGGGATTTTTGCCTACGCTTGCTGATTGTATGTGCGGTTGTTTGTAAGAGATGTGATGATTTTCTCCTGTTACAGTTATGAACTTCATCTGTCAGATGCTTGTTCTTACACTAATATTTGGATAAGAACTCTTTACCTTAAAGGGACGTTCTCTTAGCATTCTGAGTATACCTGGGCAGATTCCATGTCTCTTAAAAACTGAATTTAGCTTTGTTCCCATAGGAAGCATGAGTGGGACAAACATGGGACCTGTGCAGCCACAGTGGAGCCTCTTAATTCTCAAAAGAAATATTTTGGTAGAACATTGGATCTCTACCAAAAACTTGACCTCAACAGGTATGGAAATCTACCCCTTCTGTCGGTTTATTATTTTAGTGGTGCAAAAGGCTTTGATGTACACTTAACAACAAAGAAAAACCCCTAAATTTTTCACTCTGCAGTGGAAAAATGACTGTTGATGCCAGTTGTCTTTAATACTGTACTCTAGAGCCAGAGCAAGGTTTATTCTGCTACCATTTTAAGTTGTAGTACGGTCTCCTTTTCTCATCACATGATACTGGGACCAATCCAACTTCCATTTCAGTCAGTAAGTGTCTTCATTGTCTCTAATGAGTTCAATTTTGCCATCCTTTTTAGGTAAAACTCCCATTGACTGCAGTGGGAATGGCAAGATTGACCCTTGAGGTAGATTCATTTTTAGATACCATAGGCTGCCATTTGTTTGCTGAAGTCCTGATCCTGCACACACTTACACATGTGCTCAACTTTACTTCTGTGAGTAGCCCTACTAATTTTTATGGGATTACTCACGGCAGTAGAGTTAAGTATGTGCAAAGGCATTTGCAGGATCAGGGCCTGAGATATTTGCATGGTGTTATAATAGACAGTCAAATTGGGAGTCAAGTTTTGGCTACTATACCTTTTAGAAGTGTTGTAATGTAACCAGAAACATTCTTGTAGATTTTTAAAAACCTATATACAACATAGTGCTTGAGAAACTCAATTTTACAATAGTAGGGCCAATTAAAAAAAATTCAGAAAATTTAGAAAATAAAATGCATGCATCGTTTCTCTTAGTGGAAAAGGACAAGCCAAGGGCAAAACTCTTGTTCAGCTTCTGAAAGAGAGAATAATAGACTAGGATTTAGGGACTATAGAGGAAGGATCCAATAGAAAGAGAGGACAGCCTGAAAGACCGATGTCAATCAGAGCCAAAGCCCCCACCATGCACTCATAAGCAATTAACAGTGTGTTATGTCTTCCTATTCCTATTGGATGATCCCTTCTCACTGCTCCAACACACTGGTGGCTACACACAAAAAATTTAGATGGGAGATAACAACTTGTCCTAGCTCCTTAGGTATACATTAATTAGGAGCTTTTTAAAATGCCCCCCTGTGTAGTGACTAGCAGGCTGTTCAGCTTCTCAGTTCCCTGCTTGAATGTGCAAATTTGCAGCATACAGATGTCCCATGTGAAACCTACATGAAATTATAAGCCTGGGAGCGGTTTTTAAATATTTAATATTGATTGCCAATATTTAAAAAAGAGAAATCGGATGACCCAGGGAATTACGTCTGACATCAATCCTGGACAAGGTAATGGAGCGGAAGATAACGGACTCAATAAAGAATTAAAGGAGGGTAATATGATCAACATGGGTTTATGGAAAATAGATCCTGTCAATTTACCTTGATATCTTATTTTGACGAGATTACAAGGTTGGTTGATAAAGGTACTAGCCGTGCTGTAATATACTTAGACTTCCATAAGGTGTTTGGCACTGCACAATATTTTGATTAAAAAACAAAGAATTATATAAAATTAACATGGCACACATTTAATAGATTAAAACGTGGAAACTGATGGGTCTCATGATGTAACTAGTAGGGTCCTACAGGGATTGGTTCTTACCCCTATGTATTTTAATATTTTTATCAATGATCTGGAAGAAAACAAAGTAATCACTGATAAAGTTTGCAGATGACACAAAAATTGGCGGAGTGGTAAATAATGAGGAGGACGGGTCATTAATATGGATGTGGATCACTTGGTAAGCTGGGAGCTAAATGTCAATGTATACATCTAGGGACAAAGAATGAAGGCTGTACTTATACTGTGAGGGACTCTATCCTGGGAAGCAGTGACTGTGAAAAAGATGTCGTTGTGGTGGATAATCAGCTGAACATGAAATACTAGTGAAACACTGTGGCCAAAAGGACTAACATGATCCTTGGATGCATGAATAGAAATCTCGCATAGGAGTAGAAAGATTATTTTACCTCTGTATGTGGCACTGATGCAACCAGGGCTGTGTCCCGTTCTGGCATCCACAATTCAAGAATGGTAGAATCATAGAAATGTAGGACAATGTCATCAAATCCCGCCCCCTGCACTGAGGCAGGATCAAGTAAACCTAGGCCATCCCTGAAAAGGGTTTGTCCAACCTGTTCTTAAAAGCCTCCAGTGATGGGGATTCCACAACCTCAATTGGAAGCCTGTTCCAGAGCTTAGCTGCTCTTATGGTTAGAAAGTTTTTCCTAATATCTAACCTAAATCTCCCTTGTTGCAGATTAAGCCCATTACTTCTTGTCCTACTTTCAATGGGCATGGAGAACAATTAATCATTGTCCTCTTTATAACAGCCCTTAACATATTTGAAGACTTATCAGGTCTCTCCTCAGTCTTCTTTTCTCAAGGCTAAATATGCCCAGCTTTTTAAACCTTTCCTCATAGGTCAAGTTTTTCTGAACCTTTTATCATTTTAGTTGCTCTCCATGTAAAATTATTTGTCATAGTGAGGTCCTGCCTAGCGCACCCTCCGGCGGCAGGCCATGGCACAGTACGCCTGCCTCTTCAAATCCCTCACTAACTCTACAACAGCTCTCTTGCCTTAAGAACATCTTTCTGTGGGGCCGTACTGCAAATCCAAAGCCGTACTGCAAATCCATCCTTTACAAAAAGGCCCAAGCATAGTCAATTTCCTATACTCAGTGGATATAGTCCTTAAAACACTGCTTTTCCCAGCAGGAACCCCTGCCCTCCCTCCCCACACCCCAGCATCTCTGCTGGGAGTCCTTCCATATTAGATTTTGGTGTCTTCCACTACACCTAAGCTCCTTATCAGTCCTCTTCTGTTCCTCTGAATGCAATTCCCAGAGGGACCCCCACACACAGCTTCTCTTTTGGGAGATTGTTCTTGCCGGGGAGCATCCCTCCCTCCCTCTGGACCTCTCATTGTTCCCCCGGATCCAGCTCTCCAGCATGGAGATGTCAGCTGATGAGCCTCTCTACTGTTCCCTGCCTTCAGCCATCTCCAGCCCTCAGTTTCCAACTAGGCCACCAGGCACTTCCTTCTGCTGCTACTCCTCTTCTCCCCTTCAGCCCTCTGGCCCTGGCTCAGGGAGGTCAGCCTGCATACCCCTCTATTCTCCTTGCCTTCAGCCTTCCCCCAGGAAACACCTTCTGTGTCTGGCAACCCTTATCTCCTGCCAATCTTCTCCTCCTAGACAGCCCTCACTCAGAGTCTGTCTGATCAGGTTTTGCTCCTCTCAGATTCTCTGTGGTTCTCTAAAACCCCCAGGTGCTGCCCTGCTCTCTGAATTGGCCAAATTGAGAGCAACTGTTCTGGCACAGCGAAGCTGAACCTACTTCAGGGCCAGCCACCCTGTCACAGTACTTTACTCTTACTTTTTCTCAGTTTTCTGATTGGTCCAGTGCTGCTACAGAGAAAGGCAAAAAGAAAAATCCTAGGTCCCTGCCTGTTCACTGGATGGGGAAAATGTCTTCATGGCTCCATATCTGACAATCAAGATACCCTCTATAACAAAACAGCCTTCTAAGAGAAGGGGGAAAATCCTTCAGTACTTAACCTAAATTAGCTTTTTTTTAAAATTAGTTTTGTTGTTGTTGCTGTCTTAATTCAAACAGCTCCTTACCAAAGTCTTTTTTACTCCCTTTACATACACAGAACAATATGAAATAGCGATTTTCATCCCCTCCAGTCTGTGTAGCTGCCTTCTAATATCCAGTCATAGATTTTTCTAGACCTAAATCCTGAGCATTTCAAATGTAATAATAAAAGCAGTTTAAATATGTCTGATTAGTAAATTGCCTGTGTTCTATTGTCCTGGGTAGCTTTTACAATGTGACTAAGGAATGAGTTGCAGATGGAATGGTGACCGACAGTAGAGCTCTTTACTTTGAGTGAATGTTGCGCTGTGAAACAAAGAACGGAGACTGAAAAATTTTGAAGTTAACAGCTAGTGGGTTTTTTCTTATCGCTTAAAAAAAAGAGCATTAACATTCTTCATTATTCTTCCAGTGAATATTGAATTAAACATTCTTATTGCACTGATTTGCAAATTTCAACAGGAAAATGTACAGTTAGAATTGCTAAAAGATTTCTTTTTTTAATTACTCTTCTTTCAACCTCTATATAAAGGTACACGTTTGTTTGTTTTTTAATTATTTTCTTTGAGGTAACAACTCCAGGCTGTTGTAAGAATAACATGGTATCTTCCTAGTTACCAACCTGCAAAAATCTCAAATGACTGAGTTAGACAGTCACTTATTGGGAAGATGCCTTCAGTCAATTTGATTAAAACTGGTGTGTACGGGACCTGATCTTGCCAGGTGCTGAGCTCCATCAGCTTTCATTTGACTAAACCCTGAGAACTGCTGAACACTTACAATTCCTCTTGAACTCCTATTGTTGGGATATGGCCCATTGATTTCCTTAGCAATTGAATTGTTGAGCTCCTCATAGGATCAGGCCTAGAGGAATGAGGTACACCAACTTCAGGTTCTGGAGGGTGCAATCCATGAAGGGACTAGGCATCGCAATGCTGAGTCCATGGCACCTAACTTTTAGGCACCCAGAAAAAACAGGAACAACGCTGAGTTAGGCACCTAGGGTCCCTATACAATGAATGGGGAGAGATAGGTGCCTAAGAATGCAATCCACAAAAGCCAGCATGATAGATGGGGAGCTGCCTAAGGTAATCTGAGGGGGATGTATTAAGCTTTCTTGGAGATAGGCACCTAAGTCCAGGCTGCAGAGAGGTGCCTAAGGACACCTGCTTCCTAGAGTTAGATGGCTTAAGCAGAAATGAGTTGGGTGCCTGCCTCTTTTCACACAAAATGCCCTAAGGAGGAGTGGATGCTACCCACCTTATAACTTTTAGTCCACTGGTTAGAGCATTTACATGGGATGTGGAGACCCAGATTCAATTTCCCCTTCTCTGCTAGAGGGGGAGAAGGGATTTTAAGAGGGGTCTCCCATCTCTTAGGAGAAGTCTTTAACCACTGACCTGTGGGGTTGTGACAAATATTGCAGTTTCCTGCAGTATCTTTGGGAGATCTTACTGTACTAAATGTGTATCACTGTGGGCCAGGGACTGTATGTAGTTCCATGGGGGAGGGTAACCACAGCCCCTCCAGGAGCTAAGAACAGTGGGGGTGATTAGGCAAATTCACTCAGGTTGTAACACCTCCAGAGAGGCACCACCTCCTAAAGAGGCTCACTTATGCTAGTTCAAGCAGCATTCTCCAGAGGCCAGCGGACAAAGAAAGGACTTTTGGTTAAATACCCTGAGTTTAAACTGACTCAGAGCCTTCATTCTAATCCAGCAAAGACAGGACGTCTGGTCCAAAGGGGGGCCCCCATCCTTAGGAAAGGTTTCGAAGGACTGACATGGACCAGAGCCCTTTTTGGAGATTGGGGTGGGGGAGCGCAGGGAGGGAATCTCTGATAAGCTTATTAGCATGTGTAGGTTCTTTTATTGTTTGTAATATTTTCTCTGTAATGCTTTCACCTTAAGAATAAATGTGCTTGCTTAGAAAGGGGTATGTGGTAACTTATACCTATAGGCAATTATGCTGTTTATAACCTCTGAGGAAGAAAACAAAGCAGGCCTGCTTAGGCAGTCTGCCTTGCTGGGGAATTCACAGTGTAGGCAGGGCACTGCGCTGCCTGGAAATACTCTGATCAGAAGGCAAGAGGGGTGATGGCAAGGGAGCTGGAAGCCTGAGAGTGAGTGCCCTTGCTGGAGTACAAGGGAGAAATACAGGTGAAATTGCCTTGAACCATGACAGGGATATGCAGATGTGGGATTCCCTTAGTCTCTCCTGTTGAAACTGTGGATAAATGAGAGGTTAGAGCTGGGGTATTGGTCCCTGGGGTCTCCCACCTCCCAAATGGGTGCCCTTACCACTGGACTACAGCATCATTCTCTCACTTTCTCTGGTCCAATGACATTTTAAGTATTTATACACAGTGGAACAGTCACTGGAGGAGAGAGAATGAGTCTGTAATCTGTTGGGTAGGGTACCCACCTGGGAGCTGGGAGACCCTGGGTCCAGTCCACCTGCTCCAACCATTATTTCATTATCTATCCACAGTGGAACAGCTTCATCAGGAGAGCTTGAAAGAACCCCATATCTGAATACCCCTGGCTCAGTGGTTTGAGCACTCTCCTGAGAGGTGGGAGACCTCTGTTTTGAATCCTTCCTCCCCCTTTCACAGAAAGGAGGGAATTGAACGTGGGGTCTCCCACCTCTCAGGCAAGTGCTTTAGTCACTGGGCTAAAAGTTGTAAGGTGGGCGGCAGCACCACCACCTCGTCCTCCTCTGGCAGAATTTTGAATGGGACCTTTCAAGCACACCTACTGGATTGGGCACTGCCTCTACTTAGGTGGGCTAAGGACTATCTTCCCCTGATTCATGGATCACTCTGGGACTTAGGCAGGAGACAGGTGTCAGAACACCTAGAGGAAGGCAGCAGTGAACATGCACAGAGACAGGAACATAGGTACCTACAGAACTTTTACTATGAAAAACTTAGGTGCTGAGTGAGCGTGGGTGCCTACAGGGTTCAGTGGGAGTATTGAGGATCTCAGTGGAGGCAAAAGAGGGACTTGGGTCCCTAAAACATGGACTCAGATGTCTAAAACAGGGATCCACCTATCCTACTTAGCTTTATTGAATGATTTATAATTTAAAAATATGCTTTTAATATTAAATAAACTGGAAAACTTGATTATTCTCAGCTGACAATGGTCCTGAATCGCAAGCCACACTCCAGCCGCTTTGTGCTCTTCCACTGGTACAAAGTGACCTTAAACTTGGCAAATCTCCCCATGTACAGGGATTTCCAGTAGCACACAGTGACCATAACAACTCCTACTCCTTGCTCCCTCTGGTCAGCTGAGGGAAAAGAGATGTGACCTGCTGCTCTAACCTGTATCAGGTGACTGGCACACCATAGCTCATGGATTTGGGGAGTGCAGAGAATGCCGTGGGCCCCCTCCCAGCTGCAACTGAGGATCTGGCTCTAATGGTTAAAGTCAATTCAAGCAGGAGAGGAGGGAGTTCTCACTGCACCAGCCAAGGGGTAAGGGGAATGCTAGTTACCAAGCTTGGGAAAGGAGGGGAAGTTGAGCTTCTCCCATTCTCCTTGCTTTAATCTGTCTATCTAGCTCCCTCACTAGGATTTTCCATTTACCCATTGATTAGCTGTAGTATATCTACATGCAGTGACTCCCATGAAATGTAAGATGTATTACTCCACAAAAGGCATTTTGTATTCATTTCAGTTGTCTCCTGAAAGTTGGGATAAAGCCAAGCAGTACCTATTACCAGGTAAGAAGCTGTCATACTTATAAAGTCATTTTAATGTACCGCTGCTAGAAGGAGTGGATAGCTTCAAACCTGCTGCAGATAAGCAATCTCTTCTAATTGTATAGCTGTTTACAGTTGTTTTTCATGCAAAAGGCTTTTTGTTACTATACAAATATGGAATTTGTTGAAGTGATGCTATATGCCTTTCAATTCTCTCTGGCTTTTAAATCTTCAGATGACAGCCATAAAAGAAGCCCTTACAAGTGTTTATGGAGTAACACCAAAGGTTCAGTGCCTTCCTCCAGAAGAGGTAAAACTTTCTTTTATTTTTCCCTTATTGATTGAAGTAGTAAACAAAAGTTTACCTTGATGAAACTAAATTTATTAACTTCTGATGATTTTCCTCTCTCTTTTGCTTCTATGTTGGGACATTCCAAATATCCCCTGAAATATATTTACTTCAAAGCATCCAGTACTCAACTGACTCATCTTAAGCCAAATTTTAGCTCTGTCCTACTAAAAATAAAAAGACTTTGCCTGATAGCACATGTGGATCAGGCAAATTCAGAAGCTTACCCGGTGTCCCCAAAGAATTCCTGTTTGGAGAAGTTTAAACAAAGTTTTATGGCTTTTCCTATGATTCGGAAAGACAGAGTTAAATGGTCTGCCTTCTCCAGCCAATGCTGCCTAAAAATCTGATTCCATTTTCCCTTTCCATGCCAGCAACTGATCTGTAAATTAGCGTGCAGTAGTGAATTTAGTGTGCACAATCAGTACATTATGGCACAAATATAATTCTACCTATCTGTACCAAAGTAAAATAAACAATATATTTAAGCTACAAAACAATGCACATGACATTGAGTTTAGTTAGCTATATAGCTGTGATTTCCTCCTCCCTTTTAACTATCACTTTGTGATGTGACCTTTCCTAAAAAGGTCACAGAACAGCTCTAACAATCACTAGACTCCCTTTATCACAGTTTAATAAAGCTGTTTTGCTGGAAAGCATTTGGTGGAGTTAGCCCACACATGCAGAAAGCTATTTCATGAAAACCATTCTAAGTTAAAATTGCTTTTAGAGTTGAATATCTTTTGTGTTGTCAAGTTAATTCGCTTTAGCAATATTCTGAGTCTTTGTGCTCAGCCTCTCCTTTCTCACATTAAAACCCACTAAATCATAGCCTCTAAGGTCAGAAGGGACCATCATGATCATCTAGTGTGACCTCCTGCACATTGCAGGCCACAGAACCTCACCCACCCACTTCTGTAATAGACCCATAACCTATGGCTGAGTTACTGAAGTCCTCAAATCATGCTTTAAAGACTTCAAGTTACAAAGAACCCACCATTTACACTAATTTAAACCTGCAAGTGACCCTTGCCTCATGCTGCAGAGGAAGGCAAAAAAAAAAAAAAAAAAAACCCAGGGTCTCTGCCAATCTGACCCGGGGGAACATTCCTTCCTGATCCCAAATATGGCATCAGTTAGACCCTGAGCATGTGGGCAAGACTCACCAACTATCAAAACCAGTTGCCTCCCTTTTAAGGGTTTTTTAAACAACAAATTAAAATTGGTGTTTTGCCATCAATTTCAATGGGAACAGGAAGTTGCTCCAGTGCTTTTAATCAAGGGAGGCTGTATACGTGGGAACAGGTTAAAGACTGGTTATTTGTATTCTGGGAAAGGAGTAATACAGGAGGCAATGATAGTGTTGCAAACAGTGATTGCTGTCATGAAGACTGCTCAGATGCTGCATCACTCTTATATTTGTAATTCAACAGTGTCCAAAGGCCCCAGTCATGATTGGTGCCCCATTGTACTAGGTGCTGTGCAAACGTATGTGGAAATATGCTCCCTGCCTCAAATAGCTTATGGTCTAATTACAGAACAACAAGCGGCTGCTAGATGAAATAAAAAATGATAAAGGGAAATACATCTTTATAGAGCATGTAAACAAGCTGTGAAATTGCTCCTGCACAATATTTAAGTAGTGGGTTAATTAAGAAAAAGATTTTACAAGAGTCTCCTCAGGCTTCTAACTCCATTCCAGAATTACCTTGGGTCTGAGTTATAACAGTTTCTTATTGTATATGCGAGAGGGCATTGCTGTGAGAGTTTGGGATTGCTGGCAATGACAGGGTTGAAGGCGTATGATTAAGACAGTAGTAATAGTTACAACAACATTGGGACCCAATCCTGCAAACACTTACTACCCAATAATACTTGTCACTGTAAGTTACCCAACTGAAGTCAGTGGGGCTTCTTCTGGTAGTAAGTACTAGGATCAGGAGTGTTTGCCAGATTGGATCCTTAATTTATGACATACACCAGCTGTGTATGCATTTACTTCATTACAAAAAAAATCCAATATATTCCTTCGTTTTGTAGGATGACCAAATACTACAGTGATGAGAAGTCTCTTTATCAGTGTAAATTAGACCTTCCCTCTACTAAGAATCTTACAAAATGATAGCCAATATCCTAGGTATCCAAATGGATTCATTTACCTGCACCTTTGTGAATTGCATAAGGGGAACAAGGTGTCTGTACTATGAACTGTATGCAGTACATACTTCTAGAAACATCATCCACCTGTACCTTTACAGTGGCATATCTTCAATATACCATAAGAACAAGCAATCTGTATCTAGAGGATTAGCTTATTGTCTCCTCTACAACAAGAAGCCTCTGTAAGTGCCTTTAAAAGCTGAGTATCTCATTTTTACTGTTTCCAGGGTGAAGAAGTGCAAACAATTGGTCAAATTGAATTCTGTTTCACCAAAGAGTTGGAGCTGAGAAACTGTACAAACTCAGAGGCTGACTCCTATGTAATGCCAAACAACTGGAATTTTGGACCTGAGGAGTTGTCTGTCTGTAATGACACCCTGACGTATTACCCTGCACAGGTTCAGTTTTACAACTGAAGCCTCCAGAACTTGAAATACTTGGTAACAGATACCTTTTTTAAACGAGATACTTTGCAAAGCAATGGAAAAAGCTGTTTTGAGTAAGTGATACTATGCTCGCCTACCTCACAGGAATGTTGTGGGGATTAATGTTTGAAGTGCTATAAGTATAAGGTGATTCTTTTGTATTAAAGAGGCAATGGGCCAGATTCTAATGTCAGATACATAGCTGGAAATCTACAGTAATTGCACTAGTTTAACTAAGCTCGGAATCTGATTGTGTTTTTTACAATAGGAAACACTGTTTAAAAGAGAAATGACTTTTCAACATTCAGAATTGCATTAAAGTCCAATTCTTTATCTGGGCACTCTTTTTTGATTATTTGTTTGTTTTTTTGGAATTGTGAACAGAGCATGAATTAATCCCTCAGACCACTATAAAAAGATACTTATTTCTCAGTTTCTTGGGAGAAAAACTTATTCAGACATGATAACTAAGGGGCTTGTTCAGAGCTCCTTATTCAAGCAAAACACTGATTGGCTTCAATAAGAATTTTGCCGGGGAGTGCTGAATAGAGGCCCTGTCCTATGTGGTGTTAAGCCCCTTTTAGACCCATTGAAGTAATTGAGCATTTTGTGTGACTGTTATCTCACAGGACTGGGCTTGTTATCTTTGTGTTGTCTTGTTTGGTGAATGAAAAGCTAAGATGCAAACTTCCAAATGTGGCCAGTGACCACTGATGTTTTTGGTGCCCCAGTTTTTGGCTGCCCTTTTCAAGATGCCAAGATTTCCCACCCCTCCAGGTTCTGAACATCTGTATTTCCCATTGGTCTGAGTTGTGAGTGCTCGGCTAGTCTGAAAATTACACACAAGATGTCTGACTGGGCAGCCAAAACTGGAGGCACCCATAATCAGTAACTAGTTCTGAAACTGCTAGCCTGAATGACTCCATATTCTTCTGACATATCTGATAACACCAAGCCCAAATGTTTGAAAACCTGAGTGAGACAGGCCCTTAAAACATCAAGATTAAAAAATTGGATTCTGTTTATATGCTCTCTTCTAGCTTGAGTTATTAAGGTTCATAAGTCCAAGCTTTTCTCCACAATGGCTAGAATTTTTTTTCTTTTAATGAAAACTGAGATTATCATGTAATCACATGACTTCAGGAGCTAAGACGTCAAGAAAAAACACCAAATATTGTGAGATTTGCAATAAAAAAAAATGCAAGAGTTGGCAACATGCATAGCTATCAAATTTTAGTTATATAACATTGAATAAGGTTAAGGTTTTTTTCATTTGAGGCCAAGTATGTGTTGTATCTAACACAGAGAAGTATTTTGATGCAAATTTTTTAAGTTGCTTTTGAAAGACGGTGTGGTCTGGGAAATTATACAGGTGGAGTTGCACCTCTTCAGATGTAATTCAGCAGAATGCAGTACAGTATGTTCTGACTGTTAGGGGGAAATTAGTGTAGAAACATGAAGTACTATATTAGTAAGTAAAATTAACATTTCCTCTTAGAATCAGGTTGAGTAAATATAAGTGGTTTATTTGGTTTTCCTCTGTCTCACTCCTTTGTGCCATCCCATATTTTAAAAAGCCCACTACAGTAACATTCAAAATGCTATGGTAATTGGGAAATTACTTCAGAATACCATAGAACTTATTCAAATAAAGCAAATATTAATAAACCATGCAGATAAGTACATTCCATGATCTGTTTAATTCCTTTTCCTGCTAGCGAGAGCTTCCTGGATTCTGTATTTTCTTTTCATTATGAAAGAGGGAACTTACTAATGTGAAGTGTTAATGTATAGACTTGAGCCATTAAAATTTCTCTTGTCCTACAGGAAGGGATTCACCCCTTTCCTCCTCAAATTTTATGTTATTGTTTTTTTTTTTTAAAAAGTGATGTTCAATAGAACTGACTTGACAGGTCAGGAACATAAGAACAGCCATACTGGGTCAGACCAAAGTCCATCTAGCCCAGATACTGTCTTCCAACAGTGGCCAATGCCAGGTGCTTCAGAGGAATGAACAGAACAGGTAATCATCAAGTGATCCATATATCCCATATGAGGAATTTTTTAAAGGGCCAGGACTTTTTGCATTGTTGCATCAATAAAGAATAAATCACATTATTTTGTAACACTTTAATATTGTAAAGGAAACTGACTTCAAAGGATGCTGGTATTATATGGTTTGGGACGTTTCAGTGATTCCTGTGTGGGGTGGCTGAATACACTATTGAATTTTACTAATAAACATTAAGAGACAAATTCTATTCTTCATTTTGTAGGTGGGGACTCCAGCTGAGTTCTGTGGGAATTTTGCATGTATATGAAAGAGCACAGATTGGCTCAAAGATCAGAAATAATTCACTGCTTGTCAATATTACTTTGGACTGAATCCAGAGAAAGTCAGTGAAACTTTCAGGGATGGTACTTTGTCTTCTGCTAATGCTGTGAGCATCCATAGTTCTTTCATCAGGACTGATTTAGTAATGAACAAGGTATGAAATGATCAGTAATAAAAGGAAATCTCTGTTTTGGGATCTTTTAAAATTTCAGTATGTATGTTTGTCCAGTAACACATCTGTTCGTAATGGCGAGTGCTAGTGCAGGATCCCTTAATGCAATGATTTTCAATAGAACTGTGTTGGTATTGTTGAATAACTTCTCAATGCACAGTAAAGAGTTATAGGGACATGGCCTGCTAGTGGTAGGGCCCAAAGTCAGGGCTGGCCTTACCATGAGGCGAACTGAGGCAGCCACGTCAGGTGCCAGACTGTGGGGGAGGGGGAAGGGGCGCCACTAGGACCCAGAGTGTAGAAAATTGTGTCTGCTGCTGGTGCATATGTATTCTCTCTGCTCTAGTTGCACAGAGATGGTGGAGTGCTGTGCTGGAGGAAGGAGGGCACAAGAGACATAACAGGCAGGCAGGAGAAAAGGTGAGAAGGAATAACAGAAAGCAGCAGGAGCTGCAGGGAGAGAGAGGAGGAGGAGCCTCTTATGTACCTCTCTAGCATCCCCAGGAGCCTGGACTGATCAACACCAGCTTCTCAGGGAGCTTCCTGTTTCCTGCTGCTTCCCTGAACCCACTTGAGGAGTACAGGCAGTCAACTGAAGTAGTAGGCGCCAGTTAGGCCCTTAAGACACTGATATCTTCCCTCACTCAGGCCCTGCTACCAGCCTGCTTATTTGTCCCCTTCAACTGAGTGTTGAGAGCCACTATAGCTGGCACAGAACAGCAGTCATGTGTGAAAGAAGAAAACGCCCCTCTGGGGCAGCATTCAGAAAAAGAAAGCAAGCAAAGGAAGCTTTTCTAGCTAAGCAGGAAGGAGCTCTCCTGAGATACATAGACACAAATGTTCACGATGAGCCTTCCAGCCCCAGTGAGGATGTGAGTGGTGAGGAAATGCCTGATCTTCCAGTTAGTCAGAGTGCAGGTGACCTGGCAGCAACTGCAGCATCCATATCTCCATCTCAAATGGATGTAATTATGCACATTCCTGAAGAAAAGTGTAGATCAGAGAAGAGTGTGGTGGAGGCGCACAAAACGGCTGCTGCTGAGTTTAGTTCCTTAAGTCTAGGACTGTGGACCCACTTGAGCAGTAGCCTGAGGGACTTCCTTGTATTGCATAGGCCACAGCAAGTGAAAAACTTCATGTTCCCCAAAGACAATGAAAACAGAAGTTTCCATCCAACACATTACTGGCGTGAAATCCCCAATGGTGACAAAGTGGAGAGGCCATGGCTTAAGTACTCAAAAACCCAGAATGCTGCGTACTGTTTTTGTTGCAAACTTTTCCAGTCTAATGTTCCAGCTACATTGGGTTCTACAGGAACTAAGGACTGGAAAAATCTGGCTAGAAATCTGGCATGCCATGAGAAGGCAGCAAATCACTAGAGAGCATTCCATAGGTGGAAAGAGCTTGAGATGAGACTAAGGTTAAAGGCCACCATAGATGATCAGCATCAAGAGATGATTGCATCAGAGTCTCTTTACTGGCAAAATGTTCTGAAAAGGCTCATTGCCATTGTGAGAATGCTTGCTACCCAAAACCTAGCACTGCGTGGCCCTTCAGATCAGCTGTATGTGCCAAACAATGGAAACTTCCTTAAAATTGTGGAGCTGATGGCTGAGTTTGATGGGAGCATCTAAGAAAAGTCACCACCCAAGAAATGTACACACACCTCTACCTTGGAAAAACAATTCAAAAAGAGATCATACAGTTACTGGCAGCAAAAGTCAAACAGGAGATTGTGGCAGATATGAAGTCAACAAGATATTACTCTGTTATTCTGGACTGCACACCTGACATCAGCCATACAGAACAAATTACTTTAATGGTGGTGACAGAGAGCATTTTCTAGAATTTATTGACATTGATGATACTTCAGGAGCTGGTATGACAAATGTGCTTCTTAAAAAGCTGGAAGATATGGGAATTGCGATAGCTGACATGAGAGGTCAGGGCTACGATAATGGTGCCAACATGAGAGGAAAGAACAGAGGAGTGCAGACACGGATCCGAGAGTTAAACCCTCAAGCTTTTTTTTTTTTTTTTTTTT